AACTAGGACGATTTAGACGGACAGGCGTTCTAGTCATCACTGAAAACAATCGATTTCTCTTTATCACTTGTTCTTCTTTCTATATTGAGCGCGCACGCACGCACCCCCCTCCCCCCACACATACAAACCCTCACCACACACACACCAACACACACACACACACACACACTATCACATTCACACGTACGTAAGCACAATGCACGATGTGATGGATGGACGGCGATGACGTGGACAAGCTACTAATTCGTGTGGACAAGATGTACAGGCGAAAAGCAGATCATGCATGCACGCACGAACGATTCAGAAAGACCGATAGATACCTTCTCCGTATTACACACCATAAAATTACATGCATTTACAGCTAATGAGGCAAACGTCCAGGTTGTCTATGTACTGTGCCAAAGCGTGTGGCAATGGGGCGGTGCGTGAATGTGTGTGAGCGTGCTACGGCGCCACTGTGTGGGGGCGTGGCCGCGCGGCCATGTCGGCCTGTCGCCAGTGTGCTCGTTGCGTGCGCTTGCGCTGCGTCTCGTTGCGTGCGGTGCCGCGTGTGTGCGCGTCAGCGCCATTTCTATTTGATTGGTGCGGCTCTGGCGCGTGTCAGCAAATTTGTCAGGGAGTACGTAATAGCAACTTCGGCCAACTGATTTTCTCGCTAGCTGCGTCAGGACGATGCGGCCTAAATCACCAGAATCACGGCTCGACGGCCACGATTGCATTGACGGGGAAGCTTCACAGGAAGAATGCACCTGTGTCGTTAATATAGCTCCCTCCTCCATAACGTAGGCACTCGTCTCTTGCCTTCCCGCCCGGCTCTAGACCCTTCGCTACACTCGGCTATAAAGTATTCGTCCTCACGTCGTTATACCGTTAGTGCATTCGCTGCTCTATTTTGTCTCTATCAATTGTCAATATTATTCCATACATAGAAACGCAACTCTATACACGCTATATCTTGTTCCCCCTATGACGTGAGTGCAGGTACGCTATTCTGGTCCCTCTGATGACGTAGTGCATATCGCTATATCTGTATCAAGGCTTAGAGCAGCAGCATTGAGCGGTGGGAGAATTGCACGGGAAATATCCACCGTGCGGTGTTGACGCTGCTCTCGCGTCCGCCAACTATTCGCCGGCGCGATGAGGGTGTGTGCAAGGATTAAGAGAGTTGAGAGGAATCATCGTCTCGTAGGGACACGATTAGTCCTGCTGACTTGCTGTCAGTACAAGACGCTTCCCTGCCGCGGGTTAGCTCACAAGCTTTGGGCCGTTTCAAAAATAAATGTGTAAATAAACACAACATTGGGCATTTATTCAGCCAAAATTTTTTTCTCCTATCGACTAATAATTCCACGGGTAAACATGCTGTCAAATTTGCTTCCTCGTCCTGCAACACTCAGTGGCTCACTTCGCACGCGCGCCCGCTTTACGCACAAAACTCACAGAGTAGATATTGTTTGTGTTCTGTGTCTTTCTTTATCTTTCTGTTTGTAGTTTGTGTCGCGGAGTAGGTAGCGTTCGCCGCGATGAAATTGTGTATGCAGCGCAATCGAACGCCATTTATTCGGAACTAATAGGAGCAAACGAGTAGATGAACATTAGGACTTTGGTCGTAAAACAATTTGTGTTTTATTTAATATCATTTCTTTATTGAAGACGCCCATGTGCGCGTTCGGGGTGCCCTTCCATCGGCACCTTGGCCGGTGATAAATCGATGGTCCACACACAGCAATGTGTCCGCGAGAGTACTGTGGTGTAAATAGCTTTTCCACTCGCGCCAAGCTGTAAACCGCTGGCCAGTAGAAATCGCCGTCGGGTAACGGCGCGGCGTCATCCCTGGACGTGTACGATACATCTGCGAGCCCCCGTCTCACCGGCGGAATATCTATAACCGAACATCCAGGCGGCGGTGGCACGTGCGCGTATCTTGTCCGCGCTGGTGTGGCGGCGCGACCCGGCGCGTCGGCGGCCAGTATCGGTGGTGTGCAACGCCAGTTAGTATCTCCCCCCCCTCCCCAGTACGATCTCGTTGACAGAGGTTCACTTAGCCGATCCGTTACTGACGGAGCGGTACGGTACAGTTTATAACGTTTCGCACTTTTACACAGGTGAGAGCCGAGAGTAGAAGCGAGGAGGGCGAAGAGAGAAGAGAGGCGGAGAGAGCGAGGTGAGAACGAGAGAGAGGAGACACAAGACAAGGACAGAGAGAAGAGATTCAGCCGATGATTCCCGAGACTGAGATTGAAGAGGCGGTACCTTGAGTATGCATACGGGATCGAGAGAGAGATGAGAACGAAAGCAGAGAAAAAAATAAAGGTCTGAGAGCGCAGGATAGACAGATAGGAAGTGATGAGAGAGAGAGAGACGAGACGAGACGACGATCTGACGAGAGACTGACGAGAGAGAGAAGTGAGATCTCCAAGCCGGAGAGAGGAGAGAGAGAGAGATAGAGGAAGGGAATAAAAGGACAGAAGCTGGCTTGCTGTCAATATGTTGCATGATTTGGTATCACATATTTTATGCGTATTCTTTCTGGCTGCCATTTACTAAGTTGTAGTTAATTTGTTTTTTCCTCAAGGATGAGATCGAGAGCGAAAAACCCCCTCCCGAGGAGTCCGCGGCTGGCATCAAGCCAATTACTCACATCTTTAGCAAGAAAGAGGTAAGTTCTTGTGAAAATCTGCAATTAATTCCAGGCGGATGCTTTCCAATTTCCCGTAAAGCCCGAAATTACTTTTTTTATTATATTTAGAAAATGATGATTGTTGTACCGGTGGCCCGATTAATCTCACTCTTTAATAATGCAAGCAACACGCAATTTTAGCTGTTATGATTAAAATTGTTTGAATTTTGATTACCTAATCGGGACATGCGTAGGCCTACTGTGTAATGAAGAGTGTGTGTGTGATAACACGCATCATCGCACCATACCTAGCTTAGATAAATAGAGTCCGTGTTAAGGGGTAATTGATCACCACATCAATCGCGTTACGTAAGCACTGCTGCTGTGATTTCTGTTCTACTATAGAACAGTTGAAACGTCAATAATGCAGAAAACGTTGTTTCTCCCACTCTAATATTATCTTACATCAAACGTTTCGAGCCGCCAGCGTTTATATGGAAGATAAAAGTAAGCATCCGCAACGAAGATTTATCTGTCAATATATATATTGGTAAAACCGTGTGGGATAGTAGAGTAAGATGACTTAGCCAGCCACACTGAGCATATGGCCGTAGCATTCAGTATGCAATCACATAAAACTAAATTTCATAAACTGCGTATTTTATGTGGCAATAAAGCAGCGTTAGCGCAAGGCGAAAGTATTTTATTTCAGAGAAACTATAGTGTCGTGAACTTTTTGCCTAACTATAGGGTCCGTCACGCTTGCATGCTGTCACAAAGGTAGACGTAATCATACTGTTAATTATATAGGCCTACGCACGTTTAGAAACGGAGTGCACTAATTCATTGCCGGAAGTTTGGTCATGATACCTTGTTTTCCTAACCAGCTTGTTACCGGAAGCCATTGCGTAGGAAATCCTAGCTAGTTCTGTACAGCAGCTAACCTATCACCTGCTAAACAGACACCTATATTATTCAGTCCACTTTGCATGCAATTTTAATAACAATCTCTTCCAGGGGTACAGACTTGATTCATGGTACGAATGTCTTCACAGTTACGGCTAAAACATTAATGGCGGCAGTTAATTATTAACAATCGTCAATGATTCCATTTTCAGAAAACTCACTTTCGTAGCATAGCACCTCATGTTAAGCTATTTTCGGTGATAGCCGCAAGAAGGCTCTGCACGTGGGGGCGTCTGACACAATGCTGGACGCTACTGCCTTATGAAAACTGTAGTAGGGTGCTTGTTACACGTGTGTAACTAGCCGTCGGACTTCGGTTGTCACTAATTAGCTCTAAGGGAAGGTCACATTTATGATGTCACATTCATGAGGTCATACTCACAAGGTGATATGCACGCGGTCGTATTCATGCAGTAATGTTCCTGTGGTAATGTTCCCGAAGTCATAGTCGATCACAAGGACATGTTGCCGTGGTCATATTTACGAGGTCATCTTCATTTGACTACATTTTATGTCATATTTAAAGGCTCACAATGCGCATCCAAACGCTAATTTCTCCAGTACTAGACTAGCAAATACTTCGTGTCATGCATAATCATCACATGCACGATGTATGGAATGGACGGACCGATGAGTGGACAAGCTACTAGTGGACAAATGTACAGGCGAACAGTCATGCATGCACACGAACGACAGAAAGACCGATAGATACCTTCTCCGTATACACACCATAAAATTACATGCATTTACACTAATGAGGAAACGTCAGTGTGTCTATGTATGTGCAAGCGTGTGGTCATGGGTGCGTGAATGTGTGTTAGCGTGTACGTGTGGGTGTGTGCCAGTGTTCGTGCGTGTGCGTGCGTGTGCGTGCGTGCGCGTGTGTGCGCGTCAGCGCCATTCTATTGATTGGTGCGTCTGCGCGTGTAGCAAATTTGAGGAGTAATAGCAATTCGCAACTATTTCTCGCTAGTGCGTCAGACATGCGGCTAATCACCCAGAATCACGCTGACGCCACATGCATGACAGGAAGCTTTCCAGGAAAATGACCTGTGTGTTATAATACCCCCAAACGTAGACACGCTCTGTCCCGTCCGGTCAACCTTCCGCACCCGCTATAAGTATCCGTCTCCGCTACGTAGTGCATGCTGCTCTATTTGTCTCTATAATGCAATATATCCATATATCCATATAATACATAGAACGCAATATATAACGCTATATCTGTCCCCATGACGTAGTGCATAGCGCTATATCTGTCCTGATGACGTAGTGCATATCGCTATATCTGTATCAATTAAGCAGCAGCATGGCGGGAGAATGCACGGGAAATACACCGGTGTGACGCCTTCGCGCGCCAATATCCGGCATGAGGTGTGTGCAAGATTAAGAGAGATAGAGGAGTCATTCTCGTAGGACACATTAGCCTGCTGTGCTGTCAGGTACAGCGCTTCCCTGCCGGGTAGCTCACAAGCCTTTGGGCCGTTTCAAAAATAATGTGTAAATAAACACAAATTGCATTTATTACAAAATTTTTTATGTTTGCGTATTCTCTATCGACTAATAATTCCACGTAAATGCTGTTCAAATTCTCCTCTGCAACACTCAGTCTCATCGCACGCGCGCCGCTACGCACAAACTCACAGAGAGATATTGTTTGTGTTCTGTGTGTTTCTTTATCTTTCTGTGAGTTTGTGCGCAGTAGCGTTCGCGCGATGAAATTGTGTATTGCAGAGCAATCGAACGCCATTTATTCGGAACTAATAGGAGCAAACGAGTAGATGAACATTAGGACTTTGGTCGTAAAAACAATTTGTGTTTATTTAATATCATTTCTTTATTGAAACGCCCCATGTGCCGGTCGGGTAGCCCTTCCACGCGCACCTGCCGGTGATAAATCGATGGTCACAACAGCAATGTGTCCGCGAGAGTACTGTGTGTAAATATTTTTCCACTCGCGCCAGCTGTAAACCGCTGCCAGTAGAAATCGCCGTCGGCGTGTACGAACATCTGCCGAGCGTCTCACGGCGAATATCTATAACGAAATCAGCGTGGCACGTGCGCGTATTTGTCCGCGCGGTGTGGCGGCGTGTGTGCAACGCCATCTATATCTCCGTACGGATCATGTTGACAGAGGTTTCAGTAGCCGACCCTCTACTGACGGAGTTTATAACGTTCGCATTTACACAGGTGAGAGCGAGAGGGAGAGCGAGAGAGGGCGAGAGAAAGAGAGGGAGAGAGCGAGAGAACGAGAGAGA